CGAGTTAATGCACTTAATGCACTTAGAGCATTTTCTGTGGGGACACACACACTCGAATATATAAAACCGATTTCTAAAAAACCGACTTCTATAAATTCGACCTTATTCCGTAGTGTAGACATACCCTAGAAGTCCACTCAGTCCTACTTCTCGTTCAGCCAATCGCTCAAACAAGTTTGTTTACATTTGCAGAAGATAATACTGCCTGCTTCTTGTTTACAATGTCACCCGAAAGTGCAAACAGACGTTCACGTGGCACTGTTGTAGCTGGCATCGCAAGATATGTACATGCCAGATGTGCTAAAGATTCATATGTCCCTTCATGCTTTGGCCATCATTCCAGAGGACATGCTTCCATGCTGATTATGCTCTTCAAAAAAAAAAATAGTGCGTTAATTAAATTTGTGACTGAACTCCTTGGGGGAGAATTGTATATCTCCTGCTCTGTTTTACCTGCATTCTGCCATGTATTTCATGTTATCGCAGTCTCGGATGATGATCCAGCACATGTTGTTCATTTTAAGAACACTTTCACTGCAAATCTGACAAAACACAAAGAAGATACCAATGTGAGATTTCTAAAGATAGCTACAGCACTCGACACAAGGTTTAAGAATCTGAAGTGCCTTCCAAAATCTGAGGGACGAGGTGTGGAGCATGCTTTCAGAAGTCTTAAAAGAGCAACACTTTGATGCAGAAACTACAGAACCCGAATGAGCAAAAAAGAAAACCAACCTTCTGCTGGTGGCATCTGACTCATGATGATGAAAATGAACATGCATCAGTCAGCAGTGCTTTGGATTGTTATCAAGCAGAACCCATCATCAGCATGGACACATGTCCTCTGGAATGGTGATAGAAGCATCAAGGGACATATGAATCTTTAGCGCATCTGGCATGTAAATATCTTGCAGCGCCGGCTACAACAGTGCCATTCAAACACCTGTTCTCACATTTAGGTGACATTGTAAACAAAAAGCAGTCAGCATTATCTCCTGAAAATGTAAACAAACTTGTTTGAGCGATTGGCTGAACAAGAAGTAGGACAGAGTGGACATGTAGGCTCTAAAGTTTTACATTGTTTTGGTTTTGAGTGCAGTTATGAAAAAAGCAAAAAAAACCCCAAAACCAACATCTTAATTTCTGGCAACTTTAAGGAAATTCCATATTTCAAGAAAATTAAAGAAAAAGCTCAGAAAAACTAGAATAGACTGAAAATAGAATAGACTAATTATGACCACACACTCCCATGTTAGTTCTGTAAGATCATGTGAAATACATTCTCCAGTCCTACAGATGACTTAAGTAAATGGCTTCTTTTCAGTGTCATTCCAGACCAAAAGAAAGTGGGAGTTGTGGGTGTGACATTGCACTCTATATGATTTTATAAAAATATGCTAATGAGTGTGAATATAATGTAACTGGAATATGCTTTATGCAAAAGGTCTCTTGTAAGGTATCATTACAAAGTTTATAATCTACTGAGTGTGGTCATCCTATTTGTATAAATGTATCACTCTTGTATCTGAAACTAGAAATATGAAATATAACTCTGAGGTCCTATTGTAGTTGTACAAAGTGTGGGCCATTAATAGTGGTTTGGAATCTTAATGGCTCCCATTAACTAGGACAATTGACTGTAGATGGCTCTGTTTTACTTGTAAGTCTTCCTGAATACGTGTGGGCTGGCAAGTGGGTAATGAAGTCTTACAGAGACGTGATCATGTCACCTGACCTGGAATCCATCTTTAACCTGGTGCTTTTCCATTGAGAAGGAGGGGTGGGAACCCAGAGGGACAAAGGATTCCCACCTTATGCAAAAGATATATAAGTGGGTGGAACAGAACAAATGGGGCAGCCTTCATGAGAAATCCCCTAGCTACCATCTGAGCTGGAACTAGGGCTGTACTAGGGAAAGGACTGTGCCCAGAGTAGGAAGGTGTCCAGTCTGTGAAAGAAACTTACTGAAACATCTCTGAGGGTGAGATTTTATCTGAATTCAGTTTTATTACTGTACTAGGCTTAGACTTGCGTGCTTTATTTTATTTTGCTCGGTAATTCACTTTGTTCTGTCTGTTACTACTTGGAACCACTTAAATCCTACTTTCTGTATTTAATAAAATCACTTTTTACTTATTAATTAACCCAGAGTATGTATTAATACCTGGGTGGGGTGGGGGTGGGGGGAGAACAGCTGTGCATATCTCTCTATTTGGTGTTATAGAGGGCAAACAATTTATGAGTTCATCCTGTATAAGCTCTATACAGGGTAAAATGGATTTATTTGGGGTTTGGACCCCACTGGGAATTGGGCATCTGAGTGTTAAAGACAGGAACACTACTTAAGCTGCTTTCAGTTAAGTCTGAAGCTTTGGGGCATGTGGTTCAGACCCTGGCTCTGTGTTGGAGCAAACTAGCATATCTGGCTCAACAAGACAGGGGGCTGGAGTCCCAAGCTGTCAGGGAAAGCAGGGGCAGAAGTAGTCGTGGCACATCAGTTGGCAGCCCCAAGGGGGTTTCTGTGATCCAACCCGTCACAGTGGATTCTGAGACCATGGAGTTAAAATTGTCACTTGGGGTCTGAAATCACAGTTGCCAACTTTCACATAGTAAATAAGCACCCCAACTTTCACAATAAGCCAAAAATCAAGCTAATCCCATTTCAAAACAAGGCCAAAACAAGCCAATCCCTAAGAACCCCAACACTCTATGTGATTAGATCCCCCCGACGTGCAGTCTGGGACTGTGGTGGGCCTGCTGTGCACCCCTGACTCTCTCCCCCCTTGCCCCTGCTTACTGGGAGCCAATCAAAAAAAGAAGCAACAAGCTGCAAGCCAAACAACCTACAAGCCAAAAAGTAGCCAATAAGCAACTCACAAGCCAATTAAGCCAAAAACAAGCCCAATTTCTGTGTTGTTTTTTCCATGGGTTTGGCATGTCTGCCTGAAATGTCTCTCTTCGAAGTCAACTGCAAAACTCCAATCGTTTTCAGTGGGCACAGTGTTGAGTCTCAGAGGTGTGCTTAGTGCCAGTTTGTACACATCAGCAGATGACATTGGCATCTTACTCAAAACTGGGCGTAGGCAATGCCTTCCCTATGGGGATCTTCCCAATCCGTAGGCCACACTGAGGACATTTTTCATTAAAATTTAGCAGAAATGTTCCTTTGGCTTAATCCCAGGCTCCAGCCATAGGGTTTTAACTGCCATCTTTATGCTGATGATTCTCAGACCTACATCACCACTTCTTTTTTTCCTCTTTCCATTTCTCCTGTCTTCCTTAATCACGCTGCTGGTATGAAACACTTGGCGTGAAAGTGTAAACTGGTATATTATCATTTGAATAAAGAAAAGGAGTACTTGTGGCACCTTAGAGACTAACAAATTTATTTGAGCATAAACTTTCGTGAGCTACAGCTCACTTCATCAGATGCATTCAGTGGAAAATACAGTGGGGAGATTTATATACATAGAGAACATGAAACAATGGTTGTTACCATACACACAGTAACAAGAGAGTGATCACTTAAGGTGAGCTATTACCAGCAGGAGAGCAGTGGGGGGCGAGGAGGGGAACCTTTTGTAGTGATAATCAAGGTGGGCCATTTCCAGCAGTTGACAAGAACATCTGAGGAACAGTGGGTGCGGGAGGGGGGGAGGATAAACATGGGGAATTAGTTTTACTTTGTGTAATGACCCATCCACTCACAGATTGACAGAGCCAGAAGAGTACCCAGAAGTCACCTACGACAGGACAGGCCCAACAAAGAAAATAACAGAACGTCACTAGCCATCACCTTCAGCCCCCAACTAAAACCTCTCCAACGCATCATCATGGATCTACAACCTATCCTGAAGGACGACCCATCACTCTCACAGATCTTGGGAGACAGGCCAGTCCTTGCTTACAGACAGACCCCCAACCTGAAGCAAATACTCACCAGCAACCACACAATAGAACCACTAACCCAGGAACTTATCCTTGCAACAAAGCCCGTTGCCAACTGTGTCCACACATCTATTCAGGAGACACCATTATAGGCCTAATCACATTAGCCCCACTATCAGAGGCTCGTTCACCTGCACATCTACGAATGTGATATATGCCATCATGTGCCAGCAATGCCCCTCTGCCATGTACATTGGTCAAACTGGACAGTCTCTACGTAAAAGAATAAATGGACACAAATCAGACGTCAAGAATTATAACATTCAAAAACCAGTTAGAGAACACTTCAATCTCCCTGGTCACTCAATTACAGACCTAAAAGTGGCAATACTTCAACAAAAAGACTTCAAAAATAGACTCCAACGAGAGACTGCTGAATTGGAATTAATTTGCAAACTGGATACAATTAACTTAGGCTTGAATAGAGACTGGGAGTGCATGGGTCATTACACAAAGTAAAACTATTTCCCCATGTTTATCCCCCCCACACACACACACTGTTCCTCAGACGTTCTTGTCAACTGCTGGAAATGTCCCACCTTGATTATCACTACAAAAGGTTCCCCCCCTCACCCCTCACCCCGCCCCGCTCTCCTGCTGGTAATAGCTCACCTTAAGTGATCACTCTCCTTACAGTGTGTATGGTAACACCCATTGTTTCATGTTCTCTATGTATATAAATCTCCCCACTGTATTTTCCTCTGAATGCCCCATGAAGTGAGCTGTAGCTCACGAAAGCTTATGCCCATTAAATTGGTTAGTCTCTAAGGTGCCACAAGTCCGCCTTTTCTTTTTGCTAGTACAGACTAACACCTCTGCTACTCTGAAACCTATCATTTGAATAGTTTTACTGTTGAGTTATTTAAATCAGACATACTCTGGGAATTTGAGTCACATTACTCAATGTAATGTGTTTTTATTCAGACATTTTGAACTCTTTTCACATTTCTAAGAACTACCTGTTTTGTAATATTTCACTAGCAGTCAGCCTTCAGTTCAAAGGTTGGAAGAGATTAAAAGAAAAAAACCCCACCCCCATAAAATTCCAATCAGGTTGCACACGAGCTGTAAAAAAAAGTATTCTCCTGTTTCTAGGAGTGAGTATCAGTCTTGTTTATTCAAGTGGAAGGCAGGAGTGTGGGCTTGTGTCTTGGAGCAGCAGAAATAGAGCAGAGAAGGTAAACATTATTTTATTATATATTACTAAAACAGCTCCATCAGTAAATCTGTGAATGAATTAAATATCTTATGAGCTTCAGCAGTGAACTGTATGCAGTGGAAATATTTTCCAACGCTGTTCTTTGGCAATAAGCTGAGTGGCATGGGAATCTGATCTTTAAATGCTTTTTTGGTGTGGTTATCCAACAACGAAGTCACAACTCCAGTGTGTGTTAAAGAGTTGACTGGTGAAAGTAAATGTAATCTAAGCCATCGTTTGTTTTACAGTATGTGCATGAAGATGGAGCTTTCAACTGGCAATAGATAGTTCCTGCTGTGTCAGCAGAGATGGATGGAAAAGTTAAGGGAGAAACAGGTTTGTGTAGGCGTACAACTGTTGCACCTGGCTGGCCTGATGCCATTCTACACATCAGTGCTGGAATTTGAGATTTGTAGAAAGGTTATAACTCCTGTACTCTTGCATATGAGTGACCACCCTAGACCAGCCCTTTTGCAGTGTCCATCAGGCTGAAAACTTCTGTAGAGTTTGTAGTGCAGCCTGAAGGTAAAAGGAAGCGTTATTAAACCTTAACGTTATTATTGGGCTGTATAATTATGAACTTTTCTTTGTTATAACTGGTTCACATGGAATAAATAAGGTCCCTAAAAGAGGAAGGGGATTACTTTCAAACAACTGGTTTATAACATCAAAAAAGGTCATTTTGTTTCCATGTAAAGGCTGTAACTAACTGTTTTAATAGATAAGTGAGTGTATGTTACTAATCATTGAACCTTTAAGCAGTGAAAGTACATGTTGGGATGGCTGCCATGTGTTTTAAATCAGCAACCATGTCGTAGATGTGTCAGCCATCCTTAACGCTATAATGCTTGCAGTCAGGAGCACAGTACATAACAATATTCAAATGCTCCATGGCAGAAAGAGGAAAAAGAAAACCCTCAGGAGCTGAGTATCTTAAACAAAAGGCTGAGAAGGAAAAGGACCAAGCAAAACAGCAGCGATCCTTCCTGAAATATCTTCTCTTTAATCCAAATAAAAATGGAAGCAGTTCACAGCATCCAGATGAAGGAATTTTACTTGGAGAGGAGGTTAGCTCACATCCACGTGGAAGCAGTTTGGAACATCAAGATGAAGGTACATTACTTCGAGATGAGGGAAGCTCACATCCACAAAAAAGCAGTTTGGAAACTCAAGCTGATGGAAACTTACTTCTAGATGAAGACAGCTCACAGCATCAGACTGATATGGAAGTGGAGAATATTTATTCACCTTCAGAGACACATGCAGAAATTGAAGTAAATGAAGTAGAAGGAAGAAAGGATGAGGAAGTTACAAACAAGTTACAGTATGGGGACCCAGTTTCATGGCCCAGATGTGATGAGAGTGTGTGACAAATTTTCATGGAACATGGATCCGAACAAGTTCACAAATTTCCCTCCCCTAAGGATGGAAATAAAAGAAAATTCTCTGCTCAGCATTACAAGAGGAAACTCATTAATGGGGAAGAAATTCATCGATACTGGTTACAATGTTCAGTGTTGAAGGACTCTGTGTTTTGCTTTTGCTGCAAGCTGTTTAGAAATCAAGCAATTGGTACATCATCTACTGAATATGGTTCGAAAAACTGGAAAAACATATCTTCAATTCTCTCTTCACATGAAAGAAGTACAGAACATCTGGAATGTTTTCAAAATTGGAAAGAACTTGAATTACGATTGAAAAAAAGAAAAACTATCGATGAAGAAAATGTACATGTGATCAAGGAAAAAGAAGAATATTGGCAACAAATATTAGAGCGTCTGATTGCTTTAGTGAGAGTTCTCAGTGTGCAAAATTTAGCATTCCATGGCCACAGTAGAAATGAAAAATTTTACACTCCAGGTAACGGAAACTTTTAAAAATTTGTCGAATACCTAGCTTTCTTTGATCCAGTCATGAAGGAGCATCTACGTAAAATAACTGATCATGAAACACAGGTTCATTACTTAGGAAAAAATATGCAGAATGAACTGATTCAAATCCTAGCAAATGCCATTAAAAAGAAAATTGTAGAAGCTGCCCACTCGGCAAAATACTTTTCAATAATACTGGACTGTACACCAGATGTGAGTCATGTTGAACAAATGACGATGATCATTCGTTTTGTGGATATGGAAAAGTCTGCAGATGCAGATAATGTTCCTCATAAAGGAACATTTTTTGGGTTTTGTACCACTGAAGGAGATGACTGGATGACTGAAACTATTCTACAAGAGCTTGAAACCATGTCATTATCTATTGAAAACTTACGTGGCCAACACTATGATAATGGGAGTAATATGAAGGGTAAAGACAACGGTGTGCAAAGGAGAATGATGGAAATCAATCCTAGGGCCTTTTTCGTTCCTTGCAGTGTGCACTCTCTGAATTTGGTTGTCACTGATGCTGCTAGATGATGTTTGGAGGCAGGCAGTTTCTTTGACCTGGTGCAACGTGGTTATGTGTTTTTCTCAGGCTCAACACACCATTGGGAGATTCTGACTTGCCATGTACATTCTCTGACTCTGAAACCACTTAGTCACACAAGATGGGAGAGTCACACTGATGCTGTGAAGGCCCTTTGCTATGAACTTGGAAACATTTATGATACCCTAATTGAAATTTCTGATTATATTACCTTTACTGGATCATCTGGCAATATGGCACATTCAGACGCAGAAGCTCTTCCAAATGGCCTTTCCGAGTTCAAATTTATGACTGCACTCATTTTGTGGTGTAACATCCTTTTTGAGATTAATCTCACTAGTAAGCAGCTTCAGAAAAAGAACTTGAACATACATTTTGCTATTCAAAAACTGCAGCAAACTAAAAATATTCTGGAGGAATTCAGAAGTGATGAAGGATTTGAAAGAACACTGGTAGATTCTCTTGAGCTTGCTGAAGAAATAGACTTTCTGACAGAATTTGAACCAGAGCCAGTTCACATTCGGCAAAAGAAACAGCAGTTTTTGTATGAAGGAGGAGACACACTCATTCAGAACCCAAAACAGAGGTTCAAAGTGAATTTCTACTTTGCAGTCCTTGATGCTGCTATTCACTTGGTCAATGGAAGATTTCAACGGATACAGCAGCTATTAGATAGAAAGCTATTTGGCTTTCTATATAATATCCACAGCTTGCAAAAGAAAACAGCAAAACAGATAAGAGAATTTTGTATAAAACTGGAGTCGGCATTGACTCATGAAAATTCAAAAGACATCGATGCCACAGATTTGTGTAGTGAGCGTCAGGCTTTTTCAAGATGACTTAAGAAACATTCCACTCCTGAAGAAGTACTGAAGTTTGTTTGTGCAAATAAACTCTCAGACAGTTTTCCAAACATTTTTATAGCTTTATGCATTCTTTTAACTTTGCCAGTTTCCGGAGCTAGTGGGGAATGTAGCTTTTCAAAGTTAAAATTGATAAAAACATATTTGTGTTCAACAATGGTGCAAGAGAGACTTGTTGGACTTGCCACAATGTCAATAGAGCATGAAATAGCTGGAAAACTGGATCTAAAAGAACTAGTGACTGAATTTTCAAAACTTAAAGCAAGAAAAGTCATGTTTTAAGAGCACAGAGTGTTTTTTATTTGGAGTGTTTTGTAAATACAGGTTAATGTTCATTGCAGAGTTTTCTTATTTCTTTCTATATTGGATGTGGTGGTAATGGTAGTTAAAACAGGATAGTGTAATGGATGATTTTGGATTTGTAATAATAAAAATTATAATTAACATTTTAATACATTTTTATTTGAAATCGGACTGAAATATCATCTAGCTGTCACGTAAAAATCTATTCTGAAAATTTCGTGTCTCTATTTTATCCGATCTCAGAAACATTGGTTGGACAGATGGATGGACTCAGAAACTGAATAAGTAAGCCTCTGTTTACAACAAAAAAACAGAGTAAAAGTAAAGAGTAAAAAAGGGGCAAAATGTTTCCCAGTATACCAAAAATGTCAGCCTAGATCTGTCCTTGGCGTTTGAGGGTAGGGGCACTGATTGCATGGTTCACCTCGGGCGCCAGTTTCTGGTAGCTAGTCTAGGGCCACCCCTGGATACAGTAAAAGCTTTGTTATTGACATGTTAGGGGAATGGGGGGTCCCGGTAAGCCAAATTCTGCTAAACTAAGAGGGAGGGAGCTTGGGTGTAGGAGGGGGCTCAGGGCTGGAGGTTGAGGTGCAGGAGGAAGTGTTCTCCTTCCCTGAAACTTTCATCCTCCTCAACAGCACAGAGGCTGTCAGACCAGGGTTGGGACCATTCTACTATGTCACGGAAAGTCTCATCTGTGTATCACTCTGTCTCCCTTAGTTTCTCCAGCTCAGCCACCCGGTCTCCAGAGTCCATACACGGTCTCTGAGGTCCAGGAGTTCCTTGCACTGAATGCACACATACGCCACCTGCCCATAGGGGATGTAATCATATGTGCTGCATTGGGTGCAATAAATTGGGCAGCCCCCACTCTGTTGCTGGGTTTCTGCCTGCATTCTCTTTTTATTCCTGCAGCTTGTTCCTTTGTTGTTGTTTTGTTTTTATTGGGGGTATGTGTGTGTGTGTTTTGGCTTAAGCTTAAGGAAGTTTAAGGAATGTTACATGTATGTAGCCCCCCCCAACGCTCCCCTTCACAACAACTCCCTTGCAAAACTCCCCTGTTTGCTAGCTCCTCTGGTCGCTTAGGAGCGGGCTTTTTAAAGCACTGCTCTTCCTGAGTAGCCCCGCCCACAGTGCTGTCCAAGCCTTTCCCCCAGTTGGGCTTTACTCTTAATTAACCCTGGCCCTCCCTCTCACAGATGACACCAGGTAACCTAATGGACTTCTCAGGCCCTCGTCAACTCTATCAGGGCTGGTGTGGGGTGCCCACCCCATCACAGTCAAACAGGAGATGCCTTGTTTTCTCATTGGATGATGAGAAGAGACACAACTCATCTCATGGTTGGACATTTCAACTCATTGCCAGAAGTACAGGCAGAGGTGAAAGTAA